GAAGTCAGTTTTAACTCTTTTCTTTCTTTCCAAGGATATTCAAATCTCGCTCTTTCTCCCCTTGATAGCTTTCATGATATGATCATCCTTTTCATTTCCCTCTAAACAGGATGTGCACCAGTAAAACCTTCAATGGGGCTAGTATATAGTCTCCACGCTTCCTGTCTATCTCAATCCATCCAGCAAAATCTCCATCTTCCTCTATGACCAAACATGTTAGTAGGGCCTCGGTCTTCAAAAACTTCCGCTTGTTACAAGATAAAAATACAGATTATTTAGCTAGATACCCAAATGTTTCCAAAACTGTCACATACACTGCACATTCACTACTTTCCATTATAGCCAAGCAGGTCCTCTGACTACCCTAAACACACCGTGTACCATTTCCTAACTACTGTAAATATATTTTCCCTCAACTGTAAATAATCTTCCCCTTACTACCCAAATCCTACTTCCTATTCCTCCAGTCCTCACTGACCTTTCAGGCTCTGACCTCCTACTTTCATTTAGAGAGCACATTAAATTCTTTGTTTGACTAGAGTGCCTAAGAGGCAGAGACCATGTTTCAGATTTCTTTTGTAACTCCTTCCTCAGTGAGCACATACTGTTATTAATAAATGCTCCTTTGGTCATTTAATAAATAATTATTGTGTGTCCACTAAGCACCAGGCACTATTAGCTCAACCTGTGTTATCAAAACAATGACCACTATTTCTTTTCCCTTTTCTACTTCTCTTACTCTTTTCTCAAGATTCCATTAGTTCTTTCCTTTTCCCTTGAGCATCCTAACCTTACCATTACCAGTTGTCTTTTCCATTCAACTGAACCTTCAGCTGAATAGCAGCTATGCTACTTTCATAAATATGATTCTGGAATACATCTTCTCTCCAAAAATTCTGAGAAAAATTAGAAAGAGTGACCAGGAGTATGTTTCTGAAGGCTATGTGGCCAACTGAAGGTTCCTCACAAACCGTAAGGTTTATCCTTAAGGATAAGGTTGTCCTCATCATTGACACTAATTTTCACACATGGTGCTGCTATGAACAGACCAAAGCCTTCAATTTCACTAAAAAGTCCACATTGGTAGACTTACTTTTTGTACCTAGACTCTGTGTTTGATAAATATGTGGTTAATTGAAGAAAGGGGTTGTTATTTTAAAAGTACAAATGGCTCCAGAACATTGGCATAGGGGTTAAATTCACACACTTCGATTCAGCAGCCCAGGGTTCAAAGGTTCAGATCTCAGGCACAGACCTACACACTGCTCATCAAGCCATGCTGTGGCGGTGTCCCACATACAAAATAAAGGATGACTAGCACAGATGTTAGCTCAGGGACAATCTTCCTCAAGCAAAAAGAGGAAGATTGGCAATGGATGTTAGCTCAGGGCCAATCTTCCTCACCAAAAAAATAAAAGAAAGTGTACAGGAATCTACTCATTTGTGCAAAAGAAATACAAAAAGGATAAACAGAAATAAAAGAAATCAGTTACCACGCCACAACTAGAAGGACCCACAACTAAGAGTACACAACTATGCACTGGGGGCCTTTGGGGAGGACAAATAAAATCTTAAAAAAAAAAAAAAAAAGAGATCAGTTACCTACAGGCCTAGGTGGGAAAGAAGGGGGAAATAGGAACTGGGTAGGAGTGATGGGAGTAAGACTTCTCTGAGTATATTTTTTTTTATATAACTGACTCTTAGAACCATAGTAATGTTTCACATATCTATAAAATAAATAATTAAAGGGGGCTGGCCCCGTGGCCGAGTGGTTAAGTTCGCGCGCTCCGCTGCAGGCGGCCCAGTGTTTCGTTGGTTCGAATCCTGGGCGCGGACATGGCACTGCTCATCAAACCACGCTGAGGCGGCATTCCACATGCCACAACTAGAAGGACCCACAACGAAGAATATACAACTATGTACCGGGGGGCTTTGGGGAGAAAAAGGAAAAAATAAAATCTTTCAAAAAAAATTAATTAAATAAATAAATAATTGTAATCAAGAGTAGAGGAATAGGGTTAGCAATTCTCAAACTATTTTATGTGTATACTATAATTAAATAAGTAAACAGATTGTAGCTAATGAGAGCCAGGTTTCTCACTGTTGGAGAAAGTTAAAATAAGAAAAAGGGGAAAGTTAAAACAAACTGGGTGGCATTCCAGTGGAATCGGACCTATCAATATAAACTTATGGTTTTTAACGCACATACAGATACATAGAGAAATACAGGTGTGTGTATATAAGTGCTGTTAGTATACATACATGTATTTCCTAGCTCTGTCTGCTGAAAGGGCCCAGAAGCAGTGACATTGTAGTAATAATGAGCACGCGTAGGCCTAGATCTTGGTCACTAACACCATTTTCCAACAAAAAGAATCAGGATTTCTTGAAGAAATGGTTGATCCCAGGACTGGGGAAATGAACACACAAGATGACCCTAGAACATCTTGTGGTGCCAAAGTAAAGAAATGCTTAAAAAAAAGAGAAAAAAGGTGGTGGTTTGTTGAGAGAGCACAGGAGCCAAGTGAAGGAACTCAATAGCCAAAGCTGGAGCGATGTGAGCAATAAAACAAACAACGATAGTACTGGATTTTTTTTTTTTTAAAGACAGGCACCTGAGCTAACAACTGTTGCCAATCTTTTTTTTTTATTAATTCTCCCCAAAGCCCCCAGTACATAGTTATATATTCTAGTTGTGAGTGCCTCTGGTTGTGGCGTGTGGGACGCCACCTCAGCGTGGCCTGATGAGCGGTGCCAGGTCCGCACCCAGGATGCGAACCAGCGAAACCCTGGGCCGCCGAAGCAGAGCGCACAAACCCAACCACTCGGCCACAGGGCTGGCCCCAATAGTACTGGATTTTAACTCATAGAATAAAATACATATCCATGAGTCCATGATGATATAAATAAATAATAGAATAAATTAATAAATGGAGAAGAGAGACCTCTTCCTTACAGCAGAATTACAATTAAAAAATGTAGAAGGAAAGAGAGAAATAAAAAGTCTCAATGAGGCAACCAGAAACTTAATAAATGTCTATAAGATCTACTAGTTGCTAAAATTAGTAGGCCAAAGTTTGAGGAGAAATATTATTTACAGTCTCCCACAAGATATTTATGAACCCAAAGGGAAAGACAGTAACTCTACTGTAGAAAGACCTGCAGACACCAATTTAACCAACGTAATCATTACAATTTCAACACCATAAACTTCTTGAAATAATGCGCTAAGGAATGCATTTTCAAAATTTATAACCTTACTTTGATGATGAGAAAAACATCAAATTCAAACTGAGAAACATTCTATAAAATAACTGATCAGTAATTTTCAAAGGCATCAAGGTCATGAAAGATAAGGAAGGACTCAGGAATGATTACATACCAGAGGACACTAAAGAGAAATAGTAACTAAATGCAATGTGGGATCCTGGAACAGAAAAAGGACAGTGGAAAAATGGGTGAAAATTCTAATAAGCTCTGTAGTTGAGTTGATAATACTGTATCAATGTCAATTTCTTGTTCATGATAATTGTACTACGGTTATAGAAGATGCTATCTTTAGGGGAATAAGGTGAGGGATATAAGGGAACTCTTCCTACTGTTTTGGCAAGGTTTCTCTAAGTCTAAAATTATTTCAAATACAGTTGGCTTTTTCTTAAGAGGGCTGACAATACTTGCTCCTATTTAGTTCACATGCTAATGTCAAAGACTTTTGTAACTACAAGATCAAATACAAATTATTCGACAAAGGGATACAAAATGTTTTGCTGCCTCACAAAGCATTTTAGTAACATATTTAGAAACAGCATAAAGACTTCTAATTTTCTAAGCTATATAACAGTTACTAGGTAGAGTGACCACACAATTTACCATCCAATCCAGGACCATTATAGGAGAAAGGGGACTTCTGGTCACCCTACTAGTAGGTCAAAGTGCTTACCCTACTAATAAGTCAAAGTGGTCAGCGTTATTAAAGATCTCAAAACAGTGTGAGTTGGTATAAACGTGATGTTTAAGCAAGCCACCCTTAACTCCCTCAGCCTCTGGAACAAACGCCCCTGGGGAAGGGGGCCAGAGAGTTGAACCAGGAGATCCCCAAAGTAGACTATGCAAAGGGAAAATAAGCTAATGCATACTTATATGCTTGGATTTTCAATTATGCTTTTTAAAAGAAGGTCAAGAATGAAATCACTGACTTTCCAGCGCAGCATTCAGCTTTCACCGCCTTGCCTAAAATGTACCACATTCAAGTACACTCTCCTAGTCACAACATAAAAGGTAATAAGCTAAGGTCAAGTACTCTGCTGTCTGCTTTTGAAACAAAAGTTACCTCAGAAAGCTGGACTGGTTCCAAATTCTAATATTTCTGAAAAGATCAACAACCTAATATTGAGAGTATCAGGTAAATATGATACATTAGCCTCAAAGACTCAACAATATTAATCAGGTACTTGATGTCATTAAAATTCTACATAGGTTAATTAAGACCTACTTCCTTTGCATATTTTGTTAAGAACTAAGCTAAAGATATGCATAATAATTTATAAAACTTAAGAACTAGATGTAATCTTAAAAAATCAGCAACCCCATTCCCAAACTGCAATATTTCTAGTCACTGAAGAGATGTTTTTGTGTGTGGAAAATCTTCATCCAAAGCAAATAAACTCTGTTTTTATTAGACCTGAAAGGTTATAAATTTCCTCTTCTTTAATGTGGTCTTTTCCTGAAGAGCAAAAAGAACCCATATTTCCCCAGTTTTGTTTCTTCACAGTAATACATACACTAGAATAGCCTGAGGGTATGATCTAACAAATTCAAAAAATCAAATTTAACTTGAAAATTATATAAAAGTTTTAGGACAGAACTAACATTCTATGTGAAATACAATAACCCAAGAATCTGTAACTTACTCACAATTTCAGTTCTTCACAGGACAGCAAAATAGCCTGATGCCCATGCTTTATGTTTTACAAAGCTATCACTGCCTAATAAGAATTTACCTTAATAACAGAAGCAGGAAAAATCTCCTTTGCGTAGTTCTTCTGTTTTCTAGGCATATACAAAATGTGGAATGGTCAAAGTTCATTCATTCAATAGACCATATTTTATAAATAGCACACCTCACTAAATCTCAAGTGCTTAATGAATTATACACTTTACATGTAGTTCTGTGATGCCATTCCTACTCTCCTAATCTTTCTTGGTCCTTATTTCAACTTGCACACCTCAACCAAATAAATCTTCAAAAATACTGTCTTCATCATGTCAGTTTCCCAACAAACAAAAAACAAAAACAAAAGATATGCAGTTGATTTTTGACAAGGTACAAAGACAATCCAATACGGAAAGAATAGTCTTTTCAACAAATGGTACTGAAATAACTGGATGCCCAGCGATGCTAAAGAATAAACTTGGACCCCTACTTCACCTCACACACATAAATTAACTCAAAACAGATCAAAGACCAAAATGTAAGAGCTGAAATTATAAAACTCTTAGAAGAAAACAAAGGAGTAAATCTCAGTGACCTTGGGTTAGGCAAAGCCTTCTTAGACAAAATACAGAAGCACAAGTAACAAAAGAAAAATCGATAAATTGAACTTCATCAAAATTGAAAACTTTTGTGCTTCAAAGGAACTATCAACAAAGTGAAAGACAACCCACTGAATGGGAGAAAACATCTGCAAATGCTTTACCTGCTAAGGGACTTGTATCTAGAATATACAAAGAACTCTTACAACTCAATAATAAAAAGACAACCCAATTAAAAACTGGGCAAAGGATGTGAACAGACATTTCTCCAAAGACGAATGGCCAATAAGCACATGAAGAGATGCTCAACATCATTAGCCATGAAGCAAAAGCAAATCAAAGCCACAATGAGATACTACTTCACACCCACCAGGATGGCCTATAATCAAAGGCAGATAACAACAAGCAAGGGAACCTCAAACATTGCCGGCAGGAACGTAAAACGGTGCGGTCACTTTGGAAAACAGTTTGGCAGTTCCTCAAAACGTTAAACATGGAGCTACCTGAGAAAACCTAGCAACTGTACTCCCAGGTATACACCCAAGATAAATGAAAACATACGTCCACACAAAACGTTCACAGAATCGTTATTCACGACAGCCAAAACTTGAAACAACCCAAATGTCCACCAACCCAGTACTTTATTCAACTGAGGAATGAATAAAGAAAATATGGTCCTTGGAATATTATTCAACAATTAAGAAAAAAAAAAATAGTACTGAGGGGCCGGCCCGATGGCGCAGCAGTTAAGTTTGCACATTCCGCTTCTTGGTGGCCTGGGGTTCGCCGCCGGTTTGGATCCCGGGCACCGACATGGCACTGCTTGGCAAAAGCCATGCTGTGGTAGGCAACCCATGTATAAAATGGAGGAAGGTGGGCATGGATGTTAGCTCAGGGCCAGTCTTCCTCAGCAAAAAAAGGAGGATTGGCAGTAGTTAGCTCAGGGCTAATCTTCCTCAAAAAAAAAAGTAGTAGTACTGAAACATGTTACATGTTTCAACATGAATGTTGAAAACATTATGCAAAGTGAGAGAAACCAGTCACAAAAGACCACATATTATGTTATTCCATTTATATGAAATGTCCAGATTAGGCAAATTTATAGAGGCAGAAAGTAGATTAGTACTTGCCTAGGGCAGAGAGAAATTGAGGGAAACGGAGTCTAATGGGTTTCTTCAGGGAGTGATGAAAATGTTCTAAGATTGATTGTGGTGATGGTTCCATAATTCTGTGAATATACTCAAAGCCCCTGAATTGTACACTCTAAATGAGTGGCTTGTATGGTACGCAAATTATAATAAAGCTGTTTAAAAAAAAAGTAATGGTTTCACACAAGTGAAGTCTAACCTTCTCTTACACTCAAAGCCCTCTAGAATCTGGATCCATTATCTTGAGTATTCTACCACAAGAATCCTCCACTCCAGGCACAATGAACCAAGATCCATACAACCTAGCAAACACCACGCTTATTTCAAGCCCAAATCTTTGTTCATTCTGATCACCCACACACCACAACGCACTCCCCTCTACCCATCCAAATCCTGACTATATAGTCTTAAACTTTCAAATTTTTTTTAAAGTCATCTTTCAGTTCAAATTGTTTCTTATATGCTATTTTCAAGGACCCAGAAAAAGAGTCAGGACTTATCTCACTCACTCTTTCTCACACTCCTCCATTCTATCTTCAAGGTTCAGTCCTTTCCATTCTCAACGTAAAAACACTGTACTCTGGCCCCAAACTGGCTGTACTTACTTTCTACTTCCACCTAGTTTCCCTCCCCTTTGTCATCCAAAATTCTGTTTGTTTCCATACTTCAAACCCGTTTCCCTAAACCCACGTGAATCCCTTATGGTCTCTTCATTCTTCCTTCAATCACTCTGTATAATACCAACACTTCCTGAACATCAAGCGAAGGAATCACGGAGAAATCACACGTGTATACAACTCATAATTAACAAATACCACCCTGGCCGCCTGTCGTCTTTTTTTTAATTTAGTATGCTTGAATATATGGATGAAGATAGATTCAAACGGATAATTTAAAAAATGTACACAACTCCGAGGGGGGAATCTGTGAAGTTACACCGGGTTTAATGTTGTAAATAATACAAAACATTACAGGCACAATAACTGAAAAATGTCTCACTGATCGAAAAAGGTTTGAGCTCTTCTCTTTCTAACATGCAGTCATCACTTCTGAGCTACAAGTCAAAGGTGAAAGAAGATCAAGAAACTCTTTCCAGAGAAACAAAAATAGTTCATTCCAAATTGAGGAATAAAACTATTTAAAAAGTAGTTTTTGTGGGCAGATCGCTAGGTAACAAAATAAGCAAGATATAAAACTTAATATGTAATTTCACCTTAAGTTACTTTACAAAAAAGAGGACAGAATTTAAGTCCATCAAAATTAAAATCCATAGAAAAAAGGACAGGAAAGAAATACACCAAAACATTCACAGCAGCTATCTCTACGTACTAACATTATGGATGATTTTTTACTTTTCTGTATTTTTTAAATTTCCTGATTTGGTTACGTGTCACTCTTATCATAACACAAATTTTTTAATACTAACATTTAACTATAAATGTTTTTCATCTTTAGCCTTTATACCAACCCTAATCCTCAGTATCTATACTTCAAATGCAACTCAGCCACTTTAAGTGGCTTTGTAAACTGGGTCAGTGCTATTCCATCTTAAAGGAAATTATGGAACTATTTTCAATTCAATTACATATCACTGCAAAACAGTTTTAGGGCAGCCTTGAGTGCTAAAAGTGAGTTGTGATGCCATCTATATTAGCCTTAAAACTTATCTTAAAACTGATTCCCAGACTCTAATTTAATCAAGATTTCATTCAACAAATATTTACAGACTTCCTACTATCTCCCAAGCACTGTTCTAGGTGCCGGCAATTCAATAGTAAACAAAACTCACAAAAATCTCTGCCTTCATGGAGCTTACATTCTATTGATAAAATTTAATGCCTCATAAGTGTCAGGGAACACTACACACTGAGCTTGAAAAAGTATAAAACTACTAGTTAACAAAGGTCATAAAAACTGACAAATTTCAAATGTACTTAAAATAGTTTAAACTATCTCAAATTTCAGCTGAGGCTACAGAAGAGTGAAAAACTCCTGGTTGGCAGCAAGCCAAAGAACTAGGAGACATTTGAGAATTCAGAGGTAGCTTGGGATCCTGTAATATTTCATCAATATAAATCTCAGCTGCAATTTATACATAGCTTGAAGTCATGTGCCTGGCTAATAATCAGAACATAGTTAGTTTCCTATTATATTAGCTCAAAATATTATTCCTAAAATAAAAATAGATTGTCTCATCACCGTTTATTCCAGAACTTACTTTCCCTCACACCTCATAATGCACTAACTTTATCGTCACTCAGAATGAGCCAGCATCTGACCAAGGCAAGCCTATCGGACAGTCTCAAGCCATCCCATGAGAGACTATACAGTCCTCACTACTAAAGTCACAGAGGCGTTTCAGTCTGTTTGGCTAATCCAACGTTAATAAGCCAAAACCAGAGGCTTCTTATACGAGCAAGTTGCCTTCCCTCTGATCCATGTTAACATGCTTCTACTATCAATAAGTCACCACAGAAACATGTCACTGACCATCATACAGACTAAGAAATCATTAGTAAAATCCTTCCCATCTACTTGCAAGAACAAAACAAACCTCAAACCATAATCCTCAGGATCACAGGACCTGATAATTCAAGAGTGTCACTTAATAAAATAGTCTAACATCTTCATTTTAGAGAACAGGAAACTGATGCCCAGAGCAGTTACGTGACTAGTCCAAGATACATCTATTAAATGGAAGAGCCAAACTCAAATCCAGATTTTTGTTTTTTCTCCAAATCAGGTACACTTCTCAATACACCAAACTAAACCTGCTTATATTTTAAGGCTAGAAGGTACTGTTTCCAATGCAAAGTCTAATGTCAGAAGGGCAGGGGGCTGTTATGAGATGAGTGGGAAGGAGACCAGGAACAACCAAACACAGATATCAGATCTGACATGTATCTTCTCATAGTCTAATTCCTCAGATTAGGATGCAGAAGATACTCTGAACCTACAGCAATTGTGTTTTGATTACCAGTTCTCTACTATCTCCTCTAGTAATCTACTCCTGCTAAAAAACTGAAATGTGACTGAAATCCATTTAGTAAAATGGGGAAAAGTCAGCTGGCAGAAGGAGAAAGCCATATAAAGCTAAGGTGATTCTTACTCATCCTTCTAATTTAGCTCAGATGTCAACTTCTCCTAGGAGGCCCTAACTCCTCCCTCCCCCAGACTAGGCTCCTACAGCAGAGTTATCATCTTACAGATCTTCCTCAACTTATGATGGCATTATGTCCCAATAAACCCACTGTAAATTGAAAATATCTTACAACAAAAATGCTTTTAATACCGCTAACCTACCAAACATCACAGCTTAGCCTAGTCTACCTTAAACGTGTGTGAAACACTTACATTAGCCCACAGTTAGGCAAAATCATCTAACACGAAACCTATTTTATAATAAAGTGATGCATATCTCACGTAACTTACTGAATACTGTACTCAAAGTGAATACCATAAAGGCTGCCTGGGTACAGATGGTTCTCAGTGTATCAGTTGTTCACCCTCAGGGTTGCCTGGCTGACCGGGAGCTGCAGCTCGCTGCCACTGCCCAGCATCACAAAAGTATCGCACCTCGGGTGCTAGCCCAGGAAAAGATCAAAACTCAAAATTCGAGGTACATTTTCCCCTGAATGCATATTATCATCACATTATTGTAAAGTCGAAAAATCTTAAGTCAAACCATGGTAAGTCAGGAACAGTCTATACTTGGCTCATGGTATTCTGTCCTTTTGCCAGTTCGGACCAAGTTCTTTGAGAGCAAAGATTTTATCTTAGCTTTTCAACCCTTGATCTAACACTGAAGTCTGG